CTCCGAGCCTGATGAACACTCTTACGTCGGCAGCAGCGAAGCCGAAGAGGAATTTTCCCACTACGCGCACGACCCGCAGGGCAGATATGCGCCGGCGCTGTCGGAGGAAAGCGACGACTACGACCAGTCCCCCACGGACGAACGTCACTATGTGACGGAGGGTGGCTACACCAGCGGCGCCGCCTCATCGGCTCCAATGCCGGCCCCCTTTGCGCCGCCGACAGCCGACTACACCGGCGCCGGCTACGGCGGCTGGGACTCTGTGACTCCTCGGCACCGCCATCCCACCCGGCTGAGCGATGTCCTCGAGGAAGATGAGATCAGTCGCACCAGCCCGAGCCGCGCTAGCCAGGCGAGTCGTGGCATTCTGTAAATACGTCCGTCCAGTTTGAGCGCTTTCTCTCCCAGTTGTTTCAAGCTCGGGTTGGTGTTTCCTTGATAGTGCGTACGTAGAGGAGTAAGCAAAGAAGGGAGGCGAGTGGATAGTCTTGATTCCGCATTTGTGGCGAGTTTCCCTCCTTTTTTTCTTGGGCAGGCAGTCTCTCGTGTCTGTCTGTTTTCTGCTGTGGTGTTTGTTGCATCTGGCGTCTCTTTTCTTTGGCTGCTGTTGTTGTTAATTGTTCCCATTTTTCCCTTTTACTTCTTGTCTTTGTGATTAGTTCTTCAATGGGATGCTGTAATATGTCATTTCCCACGAAGCCTTCCCGGGTAATTTTGCTGTTCTTCTGAAATTCGATAATGACAATAGAGAACGGAATCGGAATGCGCAAGGCAGTGTTTCCATTTGTGAAAGACTTTCGTAAAAATAGAGAATCAATGGGTCAGGGCCGACTGGGGGCACGCGAGATATATATTACCGCACAGTCAGTCCGTGGACCCCATTCCGAATCTATGCATCACTTCTAAGGTTCCTCTAAATATATATATTTTTATTGCATTTTCGCTGCATTCCATTAACCAAATTCAACTATATATAATTAGCTTCAAGATTTGGTTCAGTTGATTCTATTAGGTTGTCGGCCTGTTTGGCGCCCACGGCCGAGGAAACAAGGGGGACAAAAATAAAGTCAAACACCAAAAAAAGGAAGAAAGACAAAATCTTTCCACCACCACGGGGACCAAAGGTGTAGACGCAGCGTACTCATCCACCCCGACACAATTCATCGTACTCCCCCCTTGACTTGAAAGGCTCCATGAAGTCAAAATGTAGACGATCAAACAAGTTGCACTCCGCTGATGGTCGGCTTGCCCAATATATGGCTGAGAATGCGTTCGATGTAAGCGAATTTGCTCCTTTAGTTGGGTCTTGATGGGATTCCTCTGCTATTATTCATGGATTGCCACAATTTGTAGAGTGATTCGCCGGGGATGAGAGATGAGATCGGTGACACTTGCAATAATGTCGGGCTCGACATCGTAGCAGCCAAGAACACGGGGTGGCAGGATTCCTGACTGCTGTAGAGCAAATTGCATAATATTTGCTTCTGAGTATACAAATTCACTTTCTGGGCTCAATCTGACGGCGCCCAATTGACCTACTGTAGTACGCGACTCCATCAACCGATTGCCAAAGTGGGTGAATAGCTCAACGTAGTGGCGATTAAGCGCATTTCTTTTCATGAACATTCAACCGTTACACTTTCATTAATCTCTATGACCCAGAATGCGACTAAGTAGAAGTACAGACAGAAATAGACAGCAACGCCGATGATGCAACAAAACAAGATTCCCTCATACAAGCATTAGTGTCGTTTGGATCCAACCTGAAGAAGTTGGCGGAATAAGATCTAGATCATGGACTCGTGGCCATAACATGAGAGAGGCCGTAAATCATCAAACCGAAAGTAAGAGAGAAAAACAAAAAACAGGGAGGTTATTTCATCGTCCCGGTCGTAATGAGCATATCACTCCTCCCAGGTCTTGAGAAGCGATCAATACCAAGGTGCTCCTTTCCATCGCGGCCAACATAGATCCCAAAGCCATAAAGAGGCAGCTCGCGCTCACTCGGCGGGGCAACAATGAGCCTCGTCACAAGGTCCGTCTTGCTCCTAGGCTCGCGGAGCAGCTTATCAGTCAGCAACGGCGACTGATACAGGAAGCTCATGAGATCAGCCAGTGTGTTTATATTGTGTGGCAGATGGCGATAGCGACGAGGGAAAATAGTCAGGAAAGACGCAGCATAGACACCGCAGAAGCCGATAAGAGCGTAGAATGCTGGCATATATGCCGAGATGCGGATGTCGTCGTGTGATGGGAACCATAGCGCCATAAAAACGCCACCGGATAGGATGGGGATTGCGCCGAAGATGACACTAGTTAGTGAAATCCAGGCTACTTTGTAGTGTCCGTTCAGCAAGGCTTGTAATGTAACTTGGATTGGCAAACTGGATGGGTAGGCGAGGAGAATGCTCTTCTCGGGGATCGCGCCGCGCGGCGAGGATAGCTCGACGAATGGTTGCAGTGCGCGGAAGGAGACATCGATTGGCTGCCAGACGAGGAAGAGGACGTTGCCTATTAAAGCTGGAATAAAGCTATAAACGAAGTTGGACGTGGAGAATGCACTGATCGATGGTAGTGTCGGCAGTCTCGGAACGAATCCGTCCTCGATGGCGCTGTGAATGAAGCTGACCAGGACAAAGGCCAGGAAGAGCGTGAAAACAATGGTAATCCAGATGAACACAGACGTATTCCTCAGGTACCATGGTGTCCAACGGTAGCGTGCAAAGGGCGAGTATAGGTGATGGTCGAACACATCGCTGCCAAAACGTCCTTGGTGCTCGATATCAAAGCACACTCGGGCGAGGCTGTGCTGCTGGTCGTTTCGGTTCTTTTCTTTCCGATGAAGCGACGGTGTTCGTACTGGAGCGTCCACTTCACCAATCCCATAAAAGGTATCGTTCTTGCCCGACAATCGCCAGTAGCCCAACCGAAGGACTCGCGGATCCAGAGTTTCCCTGACCAATGGCACCGTTTCAGAATGTTCAAAGTCGTGCAAAATATTGGATCGCTGGATAATGGAGACCAAATCGGCCAGGCTAGTTGGATCCCACATCAAACCGGACCAGCTTCGAGTGAACCGAGCCAGCAGCAGTATCAGCCCAATGGCCAGAACCCCGTATGTGCCCACCAAGGCCCAGCCGACCGCTTGCACAGACGTCCACTTCCACAGACCTTGGCCGTCAACGGAGTAATACTTCGCTTGGAAAAGACAGCTCAGAAGGGGTATCGAGAAGAAGTTGGACAGCCAGATTGTGAAGAGACAAAACCCAAGCATGGGTTCTCCATGCCTGAAATGGGTAAAGTCGGGGAAGATGAAATTCCGCGAGAGAATGGGTAGGTCCTGCATCACCCGTCCCCGCGGTCTCTCCGCGGCCATGATAGCAAAGGGTGCTGTGCGATACACAGCGGCCTGGATGACGAACGTCCAGATTATGATAGGCATGGCCAGAATCTGGGGAAGAAACTCCATCACAAAGTATCGTGAACCACCTTGTTCCTTGTACCCCCAGAGTCCGTGGTGCCGCTGGGACCAGATGTTGCAGAACAGAACACCGGCGGCCATCAGCAGACAGCACAGTATCACCGGGACTAGAGCCCATGGCCGTAGAGCAACCGGTAAGTAATCCAGAGCAGGATACAGTAAGCTTTGCTCGGGAGGGTCAACAGCGACAAATGACTTCGGGTCCACTGAGGCTGCTCTTTGTGGAAGTGCCTGCGGCGATGGGGTTGCGTGTTGTTGATGATGCATTGGAGGTGTGTGATCATGACGAATAGGCGTTCGCGTGCGGGTAAAGTAGCCTAGATCCTCATCCCATACTAACCGGTCCACAGGATAGTCGTCTCTGCTGGACACGGAGCCATGTCTACCCTGCCGGGCAACCTCGTCCCGTGTCAGCTGGTCAATTGCGAACCGGACATAGGGCGAGTCATCCAGACCCGGCGTGGGAGCGGTGCCGGCATACTCGCGCAGAACAGGCCGAGGTGTCTCGTCGGAGTTAGCGCTGATGTGCGAGACGGTCTCCGCTCCGAAACGAACCGTGCTGGATGTGTCTGGGCGAGGGTCTTGTAGAGCACGCTGTTCTTGATGACCGGACTCAACCAACGGTGAGCTTTGACGAGTCCATGACGCCGGAGAAGGTGCAGACAAATGGGAGTCTGGTGTCTGGAAGCGCATGACCGTCACTCTGCTGTCTGGACTGGAGGAGGCGCCGCGATCAGAGAAGGAGTAGTAGTCGTCTGATGCTGCGACGGACTGTTGCGATCCTGTGTAGTTGTATTCGGGCTTGTTTGCTGGGAACTGGTCAGTATTTCTACAAGTCGCACCAGCACGGGTACATACTATTGACATTTCGCAAACTGAAGTTGGGTTTTGGGCCGGGAGGGTTGGACATGGTTTGGAGGGCAGCCCCAAAATGCGCTGCGCATAGCAATTTCACGAAAGAAGCATTCCAGACAAAAACTGAAGCTTCGAAGTAAAAAAGAGAGAGCTAAGGTGGGCTTATGTGCAGGTGCCATCGGTGGCCGTCGCTCCCCAGCCTCCCCCAGCCACCAGCCACCAGTGTCCAGTCCCGCCGGTAACAGGGATCCAGACCGATTGGTCTGAATGAGACAAGAAAATAAATTAACTCGACAGATCATAAACATTGTTCCAGATAGATGAGGCTGGAGTTGTTTTCGGGATCTGTTTTCATTGTGTAGATTGTGCCCTCGATTGGCTGTGCCGATCACCCGCGTGTATCCATGGATGCGCCGAAGCTTGGCTCGATCTATACTAGAGCTATACTGAGTCGCAAATCCTAGCTATTCTGATATTATTTACTAGCATTCTATTTCTGATACATCCATTATCGGTAGTTATAATTGAATTTCTTCTCTCTCGTCGCTCGTGTATATCCGGAGTGGCTGGTCGCGCAAGACCCCTTGATTCTTCATCAGACCATGAAAAACCGGAGGCTGTACTTTGAAAGATGACAAAACAAAAACTGAGACAATCAATTTGTCTAAGAGACAGCAGTTTGACTGTAATAGCTGTGGCTCCCATGACTTGACTCCACCGCCATTTCCGAAGTGTTGTTATGAGCGGAGGCCTGCAACTCGGCAGGGCCGTGTTCTAGCTCGACAGGCCCAAACTGCTGGTGTCTTTTAATGACAGATTCAGTAATCGGCTGCATTGACATGCTCGTGTTATATGTGTTGATGCTCTTGTTGCGCAATCGGCGCTCATACAGTGCCCACCCGATGGCAGCCAGCAAGAGTGCGCCGAGAGTAGCCCCGACGGCTGCGCTCACTGTCGTTTCTTTGCTATCGGGATTGGGACAGCTTGCAGAAGCGGCGCCCACATCGGGAGGTGTGCTTGGGCTCAGCCCGGAAGAGGAATTCGTGGAAGAGGAGTTCCTTGAAAAAGGGATGTCACTGGTATAGGTGGCGTTGCTCAGGCCTGCTCGACCGACGACGGCTCTTCCAGGAGGTATGGTAAACGAAGGTGAGCCATCTGCGCAGGCAAATGACCCGTCGTTATCCACAAGGCCGCCGCAGCAGTACTGGGTGGCGTTTGGAACGGACATATCGATGGGCACAATGGTGATTCCGTTGTTTGTGTTGTCGTTCGCTACGACAGCACGAAAATGAGTTACGGGTCTGCAAAATCAGGAGGGGACAAAAGCTTGACTTACAACCGTGACATTCCTGGGCGCAACTTGAACCCCAGCTCCGGTCTGTACAACTTCCTCTAGTCAGGACGAAGCCCCTGTTGGCCTGGACATAACAGAGACCATTTGTCAAGCAAAGATCTTGGTAACTGCAGCAGGGCGAAAAATTGTCATCAGAGCATGGAACGTCGTCAACGGCAGGGTCGCCGTTCAAAAAATAGCATGTTCGGGATGCCGTCGCAGATTGACTAAAAATAAACAGACCGATGAGCGCCGCCAACCCGTGCCTCGGTCGTATGTGGCGCATTTTGTCCTCGAGGAATTGAAAAGCGAAAGCACAATTGTGTGAAAGTTGCCGGTATCGCTCTGTAAATCAAAGTGTTTTGTCCGGGAGCAGTAGCCATGCCCAGGGGTTCGATGGTGAGAAGACGAGGTTCGTCAGCCTGATCAAGACCCATATGGCACCCTGATTTTAAACCCTGAGGCAAGCCAGTGCGGGCTGAGCCTCGTCAGGAACATTGTAGCCACTGAGCGCCATGAACTGGAGGCCAAGTCAACGATCATTACTGTCTCTGAGCGCTCAGGTGGGGGCCTATTGGCAGACAAACTCTGATGGGTGCATTTGCACGCTAGGATGACGGGGGGATTGGCAGGGGCTGCGAGGTCGGTCAGGATTGGATTTCTTAAAAAGGACACAGGAGAAAAGAGGACAGCAAATTGTGCCAAGTACAGTCAAGATACCCTTCAATAATTATCTGACTGATTTTCTCGGTGGTGTTTGTTCAACCTCGATCAACGCGCAAAAGTACAAACACTCGTCCATTGCGCGACAAGACCCTGTCCAGGGATTTTGTCAGTGAAAGTTCGTTCCCCTTGAGCAAAAGCTCCTAGTGATACACCTCTAGGAAAAGAAAGCAGGACTTGCGCATGTTCCCAGCCCCGCCGATGCCGAACCCTACGTACCGCTCCTGGAGGCTGGATGCCGATCCCGAGTACGCCTCGTCCGGGATTTTTTTCCAAGGCCGAGCAAGCCTGTTCCTCTTGACCAGCAGAGCACATCCTTCCTCATCGACTGTCTTCTTCCGTTCGGACCAGATCCATAATCGCCGAAAACAGCGCATGATGGCCAACAAATATCGACTGGTACAATTGGCTTGGTTAGTTGATTTGAAAGATTTCTGGATGATGTATTACGAATGTTAGTTGGTGGCAATCTGTGATTTGTATCTCGGGCTATCACAGTAAGAGTTGTTATCAGATCTTGGACCGACCGTCGTATATAAGCGAATGGCCGCTTGCCATCACCGGGATCGGAATGTTACGCAGATGGTGTAAGACAGTCTTCCCCGAGTTCCGACGTCACCTTATAGGGATCATTAGGATCCTGCTGAATTCGGTTGGTTGCAAAAAGATCGCTACAGTTTTTTCTCTGCTGGGAGTTTCCGAGACCCCAATGCCCTTGGATTCAGCTGCAGGACGCCATTCTGGATACTTTTGTTGTAGCCATATCTATATCTTGAACCGTTTGTTGAAGGGCTGCGGAGTCACGGCAACTGAGCAGTTGATGTTTGTGTAACCATCCTTCTCGGATGCTTGTGTCTCTTCGGGCTGGGATACCAAGATCAACAACATTTATTTCTTATAGTGACTTGACTTGACTTCTTGAAAGCATGGATCGACTTGTCGTATCCCAATCAGGCAAACGCGGGGGTGGTCAGATGCTGGAGCGGAAAGCTCTCGCATAAGCTTAATTAGCCTCTCCGACCATCTCCTGGATGGCCAGGATACGGCCGCGGCCTGAGAGGATGGGCGGTTATCTCATTCTCAACCGGCTAAATTGAAATACGCGACAATGGCCCATCGTTAGCTCCTCCGCGATGGCGTTAGCTCTTCCACATGGCTGTTTCAAGTAAACGTGGTTTATAGCCGGTATGCGGATTGTGGACCTCTTCCGTTGAGTCCAGACTCCCGGCCCAAGCTTCTTCCGGGGCAAGAAGGGGCATGCAATCTAAGAGACCATCAATCGGACCGGCGCCCCGAAAGAAGAATCCGTCAATATAATCCGATAATGAAGGGGATTGTAGGAAACGCAGATCCTGTTTCACCATTGATTGGCCGAGTACCTAGCGTCAGTTCCAAAGGGGGTTTCGGGTTTTCCTTGCCACAATCGGGCGAGGCCTGAGTGTGGAAGTTGGTGGCAAGGATAAATCCACGGGACCAGCAGACATGGAACCAACGCAAAAAAGGGTTGTACAGGACAGGTTCAACGGTCGGCGGGACGTGGGGCATGGACTGGTCAATCAGATTGTCACCTTAGGCGAGACCAATCTAGCGTTAGGGGCATTTGTCCGACCCGGATTCCTACTGCGGGGCGAATGAGCGGCCAAGCAGCAGAGATCTGTGCTTGGAGCAGCAGCAGCACCCCGTACATGGTCGCAGGATGGGAGAGCAGTGACTGACAATAGTTATTATTGTATGTATCCAATAGCCAAGTACTTCAACAAGTGAATTCAGTCAGGGCACCAGGAATCATCTGATCTGGGCTGCCTCAGGCCACCGCATCATCCAATCCACGGTCGGTCCTCATCGCCTCCCGCTTATCATCGTTACTTTCTTTTCTTTCTGACTGGCTTATTCTCTTCCCCTCATTCGCATTCTGTTCTTATTCCGTCGTCCTTCGTTACTTTTCCTTCGTTCTCCTTACCACTCACGCACTCCCAACCTCCCCTTCCTACCCCCGTCTCAGGAGATGTCCTTGCCAATGTCGCGCTAAGATCGGATCGTCGTCCCCTTCGTCCCGGACTGACACCTTTGTCTTGGATCTCGCTCTTTTGGTCTCCTCGGCTTGAACCCTACCGTGAGGGAGTCGCCTTCGCCTTCTCCTCACCATGCTGCTCAAGCCAGCGACACCGCTCACCATTTTGCTCCTGGTCGCTTTTGCTCTCCTGTTGCTGTCGTGCCTTTCCACCCCGATCGTCAAGGGGATACCATTGGCGACATTCCAAAATGTCGACTACGGTGTCTTTGGCTACTGCCACGGCGACAAGTGTACCAATATCCATGTAGGATACACGAGCAGTTCGTCTCACCCTACCCCTTTCGCTTCTGCCTGATCTCGATGAACCGAGACTAAGTTCTCTCCAGATGATATCAATAGTACCGGGGACGACTTCAACCTCCCCTCGAGCACTCGCAAATCGCTATCTGCGATTCTCATTGTCCACCCAGTCGCCGCCTTCCTGACCCTTATTTGTCTCTGCCTGGCCGCCGCGGCCCATTTCCACGCGCCGTCACATTCGCCTCGCTTTCTTCTGGCGCTTCTCATCCTCCTCCTACCAACCCTGCTTGTCACCCTCCTTGCGTTCCTGGTCGATATCCTACTTTTCGTGCCACATCTCCAATGGGGCGGATGGATCGTGCTGGCCTCGACCATCATCCTCGTGTCTTGCGGGGTGGTGACCTGTGCCATGCGCCGGACTCTTGTGAGCCGCAAGGCGAGGAAGCGACGGATTGCGGAGAATGCGGAGATGAGCGGGGAGAATTTTTACAATCGCCAGAATAACGCTGCCCTCGCCCTAGCACAATCTCCGCCGGACGAGACGGATTTCAAAGAACCAATTGTGGCTGGATCGCCTCCCACTGAATCGAACCCGACCTTCGCATCGTTCAGCACTGCTAGACGAGACAGCGATGACGATCGCACCCCGCTCAACACTTCACTCACCTCTAGGCCACCCTTGAACGATGTTCCAATACCTCCTGCTGACCGCCGCGGGACACCGTACCGCCAAGATGAGGCTGGAAACTTCCCGCCCTCAGGCCCTTACGGTGCTGGGCCCATGACGCGGAACCCCTCTGACCCACGACTTCGTCCACAGTACTCAGATGGCAGTATGGGTTCTTATCGAGGCGGCGCCCCTGGGTATGGGCCTCGCGGCCGGGGCGGTTATCCTCCTCGAGGTGCTTATGGCCGTGGAGGGGGGCCATACATGGGCCCTGGACCTCACGGCCCTCCTCCCCCCGGCGGGAGAGGCGGCTACATGGGACCCATGGGACCACACCGCGGTGGTCGCGGAGGCATGATGCCACCCCGGGGACCACCACGCGGACCGCCACCTGTTGGCTATGCTGCGGGTCCGAATCGAAGCTTTGATTCCTACGCGCGACCTACCGGCCATCCGGAGGAATCCTACGAACCTCCTATCGGCATGGCCGTTTCATCGCCGGAATCGGAACCCATTGGACAGGCAATTGAAATGACGCCACAATCCCGGCGCTACGAAGCGCACTTATCGGCCCAGTCTGGGCACAGTGAGCCGCATGCACTATCGGTGGATGGGCAATACATGCCCCAGGAGAGCCCGACGAGCCTCTACAGTCGCGGCACCGAGTCCTACGTTCCTGCCCGCGCTGGCTGGGGCAATGATCCCCCACGCTCTTCTGCGTCCCCCGTGCATGCCTCCTCCGGTAGTAACTACTACGAAGATGTGGACCCGCGCTTCGCTCGACGACCATCACCACAGGGAGGCAGTCTAGTCCCGAACGCGCTGACTCCTGGTGGCCATTGAAACGGGCAGAGGCAGCCCCCGGGATCCCTGCGGCTTCCCGTATAATGAACTGCTTGTTGTATAGAACCGACCACAACCCTTGCACAGTACACGCTTTCCGATACCCATTTTCACTTCTCTGATGCACTGCAATATGCTCACCTTCCAAGGCAGTGCCTGGGAGTCATTGCTGGGGAGGAGTTTTGGCGTCCTTGTTCTCACTCTTTTTTGTTAGATGTACAAATGCGACGGACAGAGTTGCCCCCTGTCCCGACCTGCCTGTATCTATCTCTCTAGTAGCTTTACATATGTTCTTTTTCTGTCTGTCGTTCCACGGTAGACTCTATTGCGAGCGGCTCTTAAAGCAGGGCAGCCGGCCACGTGACATGACGTCGCTCCAAATGATCGTCGATCCCACCGTTAGCACTGGACTGGGTTTGGCTGATGATGACGGTTGTTGGCCGCCCTGGTGTCATCTCCTGCCCCCAGAAGCTTGATTCCGGGCTGCGATCAGATCCATTTACGGGGCGATCCCCATCAGTCCCCTCCGAGACATGAAACGCTTTCCATGGTCAGCTGGAAAATATGTCCCTTAAAATGATATACCTGCCTATGAACCTCCATAACCCTTCTTGATTGTGTTCTTTTTCCAACCAGCTGCCGTGCTCAAACCTCAGCGCCTGGAAAGCACATCATGAACGATCCCGGCCTCGACGATGCCGTCGCTGACGAAGCTGGGGCCCTTGACCAACCCTTCGGACGCCAGGACTCGCAAAATGGCGAGAATCAAGCTCCTGTCGACCATCGACACCCGGAGGCTGCTCGGTGGTGGCTTGCAAGCACAGCGTATCCTCTGACGGCTGTACGAAAATACTCTACTCCATATAAAGTAGAAAGTTGACAGAGACTCATCAACTACTATTGCAGGGTACCTTTGGGCCGATGGCCAGTGCATTCAACATTTGCTCCTTAGCACAGACATGGCGAATGCAAGTCCAACCTGGTGGCGGCGCGGTGAATATTGCTGACCCCAAATGGTACGTTCGAATCAGGCTTCCCGCTCGAGGCAGCGATTTTAATTTCGGTCCAGGGTGATCGGGCTCAATGCGCTTTCGCTGATTTGCGCGGTCGTTGCGAATCTTGTGCTTTCGCTGAACATGACCCGTCGCATTCGGTTTGAAGTGGCCCAGCCCATCATTATTATCGGGTGGTACATCTCATCAGTCCTGTTGATCGGGCTTCTCATTGCATTCAGAGTGGTCGGGGACGTTCCAACGAGTTCCGGCCACGTTTTTTCCCAGGCATACTTCTACGGGGCCTATGCAGCAGTACTCTACTTTGTCATTTCTTCCCTGCTAGTGGTGACAGCTTACGGCGCATATCGGGGCCACTACAGCCGCGAGTACAAACTTACCACGAGTCAACGGACGCTGATGCTGCAGACTATCATCTTTTTTTTCTACCTCCTCGGCGGTGCAGCTGTTTATGCCAGGGTCGAGGACTGGCGGTTTTTGGATGCAGTGTATTTCGCCGACTATACGCTGCTGACCATTGGTGTCGGCAACTACGCGCCTATCACCCACCTCGGACGTGGCCTGCTCTTCCCATATGCGATCGGAGGCATTGTGATTCTGGGTTTGATTATCTCCTCGATCCGAACCTTGACGCTGGAGAAGGGCCGGCAGAAAATGGCGGATGTGTTGACCTCGCGCACTCGGCGGTTCCTCGTTAAGCAGGCATATTCGGATAAGAATGCCTTTAATAGGATAGTGCCGCGCCTGGGAAAAGAGGCTGCCGGTGCTGAAGGACGCAGTTCACGCGAGCAGCGCAAGCAGGAGTTCATCGTCATGCGGCAAGTGCGACAGCTGGCGACGGTGCAACACAAATGGATCTCACTCATAATCTCTGTGGTACTTTGGATGGCATTGTGGCTGCTCGGCGCGGTGGTATTTTGGCGCTCGGAGGCTGATAGGCATTGGACCTATTTCGAGGCACTCTATTTCGCATACATATCCCTCTTAACCATCGGGTATGGCGACTTGTACCCTAACAGCAGCTTTGGCAGATCCTTCTTTGTGTTCTGGTCGCTCCTCGCAGTCCCCAGTATTACTATCCTCATCTCCAACATCGGCGACACGCTCGTCCGGTTCCTGCGCGACGTCACTATATTCCTGGGTGAAATCACCATTTTACCCGGAGACCAGTCATTCGGTACTCGCATCAAGGGACTGATCCATACCTCCTGGATCGACAAATGGATTCAAGAGACTACGGGCGAGAAGGCCCCTGCAGAGGCCATTTCGGACGTGGAAGCCAACAACGAGGACCGCAACAGCATTGAAGTTGAGGAACACAAGAAAGAAGAATCAGCGCGCCAACGCGGCGACCTCACCGCCGAGAACATACATCACTACCATTACATGCTCTTCCGCGAGGTGCGCAAGATGATGGAATACGCCACCAGCAATCTGTCCAAAGAGTTCGACTACCTGGAATGGGAGTACTATCTCGGCCTGATCTCGGGCAAGGACAAGCCCCTGGAGGATGGAGAGACCGAAGAAGAAAATGAACGAGACCCTTCTCGGAACTGGAGTTGGATCGATGGGACGAATCCCTTGCTGGGCCAGAAGACCGAGGTCGAGTGGCTCCTCAATGCGCTGACCGAGGTCCTGGAGCGGGAGTTGAAAAAGGCCAGTCGTGGGTATCATTCACCTGAGGCGAGTGAGCGTAAGCATAATCATGGTGACTCGGAAGGCAGCCCGGGGAATACTCCCCAGAGCGAGAAACAGGAATGATGCTATAACTATCACTCTGGGTATTTTGTATTAATAAGGGATCCTACGGCGTTGTGGACGATAGATAATTCATTACGGTCTTGCTTCAACATCTACATAAAGAAGCCACTGACTCTTGCTTCGATTTGACAACTTTTGGTGTGCTTGAAGTACAAAAAGGAGCGTAAATAGTGGGAGTCGCGCTAGCTAGCAGAGCATGATCCCTCCCCCCATCACTTTAATCAAACATTCTCTTCCTGCCACACGTAAACTCTTTAGGAATCGTTTCCCGAAGCGAATGGTACAACACGTGGCTGCTCTTGGCCTGCTTACTGTATTCTTGTTTATGTCCTTGCTTCCTTAAACTTGCCTGATCTATTAGCTGCTCTATCTAATCAAACCATATATGTTATTTGGCCCGCTTCGCTGCTCCGAGGGCGAGAGAGTGTCAGTGGGACATGGGCTCGCACAAAAAGAGAGAGAGAGAGAGAGAGAGAGAGAGAGAGAGAGAGAGAAAGAAAGAAAGAAAGAAAGAAAGAAAGAAAGAAAGAAAGAAAGAAAGAAAGAAAGAAAGAAAGAAAGAAAGAAAGAAAGAAAGAAAGAAAGAAAGAAAGAAAGAAAGAAAGAAAGAAAGAAAGAAAGAAAGAAAGAATGGTGGAGTTGTTAGTTTCTTTGTTGGTTTCGAGCAATTCTAGGAAGCATGGAAGAGGGCACACAAGTCGTATGACGTTCAAGTAGAATCAATTCGGTGTAGATGGAGCTCTGTGGTCTTGGTGCTGTGATGATTTTTCCGACAAAGGAGTGTTCAATATTTAACCAAGCCACTTGAGACATTGAGGATGTTTGTGTCAACTATCTAATTGCCATACAGACGAGCATTGAGCTTAACCATGCTAGCAATACTGTTTTGTACATACTTCGCTGGTACAAATGGGAAGAGGTAAGTGATGCCTCAGGCACCAACTTGTCGAATCGGGCCGGCGATCCGGCGAAATCATTCTCTCACTTTCTTTCCCTCCCAGACAGACTCAACCAACAACAATGACAGTGACAACCAGGGCCCCAGGCCTATTCGGCCGAGCCACTCGATCCCTAAGCTCCACCGAATCTCGTGTTCTCTCCCTCCCACGGCGTCACGTCCCAGCGCAATGCAGTAAAGCCTACACACCAGCACCGCGACCGCAACCGCGCAATGCCGCAAACCCCCTCCTCAGTTCCAAGAACTTCTCCTCGAGCGCCTTCATCGCGCGCGCCAAAACAATGGGCGAGCTGAAGTCGCGCAACACGACGGGCCCGTTCTCATGGAAGGCGGCGCTGCTCTTCCTCCTGACGGGCGCGGGCATGATGGTCTACTTTAAGATCGAAAAAGAGCGTCTGGAGCGCAAGCGCATCGCGGAGATGAGCAAAGGGTACGGCAAGCCTAAGGTCGGGGGCCCATTTGTGCTGAAGGATTTGAACGGGAATGAGTTCACGCAGGAGGATCTGAAGGGGAAATACAGCTTCGTATGCAGCCCTCTTTCTTTTTGCGTCGGGCGCGAAGCATTTGCTCACTGGTTTCTTCAGGTCTACTTTGGTTTCACGCATTGCCCGGATATCTGCCCCGACGAGCTGGACAAGATGGCCGAGATCATCGAGAAGGTCAAGGCGGAGACCAAAGACGAGAAATTGTTTCTGCCTGTTTTCATCACCTGCGATCCGGTCCGTGACACGCCCGAGGTACTGCGCGAATACCTCAAGGAGTTTCACCCGGGTATTGTGGGCTTGACGGGGACATACGAGCAGGTGAAGAACGTCTGTCGGCAATACCGGGTGTACTTTAGTACGCCCCGGGATGTGAAGCCTGGCGAGGATTATTTGGTGGATCATAGCATCTACTTCTATTTGATGGGTGAGTGAACAGAGCATGCGACATTTGTGACGTTTCTGCTGACTCTTTTGTTCTCATAGATCCCGATAATGACTTCGTGGAGTGTATCGGGCGCCAGGATACACCCGAGTCGGCGGCGAAAGTGATTCTCGAGCATATCAAGGACTGGCAGCGCGAGGGCAAACCACTGAAGACGGAGTGATTGTGTGTTCCCAGCATGTACATGTGGACAGAAACTTGTATTATTAGTTATACCTCCTCAATCCCGATTTGGAACTCCTTCTCATCATATCCTTGCACCACTTAGTTACGGATTCTCCCTCCCCTTCACTTCACCAGATTCCCCTCCGCATCCCGATCAGCATTGGCCCTCCACTCCATCCCCCCATCCTCAAACTCCTCCCTCTTCCAGATCTCCGCCCGCTCCTTACAAGCCTCCAGCACCTCCTCGCCGGCCCTCCACGCCGCAGCGCGATGTCCCGAACTGACCGCAATAACAATCGACGCCTCCCCAATCGGGACGATCCCCAGACGGTGCGCGATACTCACGCCGAGCAGCTGGTGCGTGGCCACGGCGTTCTCCGCGATGGCGGTGAGGGTTTTGAATGTGAGAGCTGGGTATGCGGTGTAGCTTAGTTGCGAGACGGCGCGGCCTTGGAATGTGTCACGCGTTGTTCCGAGGAAGAGAACATTTGCTCCTGCGGCCGGCGAGGAGGTTTGATTCAGGTAGATGGTTGGGTCGAGGGGCGCGTAGGTGAGTGTTAGGTGGATGTTTTGGGTTGGATCGGTGTGGGTGCGGGGGTAGGTGGCTGGGTCGAGGTGCGCGGGTTGAGAAGAGGACGAGGAGGATGTCATTGTGGCATCGAGTAGAGTGAAGTGTATATGGGTTGAGTCGAAAACGAATGAAGGAGGTAAATGGAGATGTGAAGCTTATCGTTATCGTTTATCGCACGTGGGGACATCGGAGACTGCCGAACCAAAGTGTATAACGTCTATAGAGAAAGCTAGACTAGCACAACCACCGCCTCGTACGGCTTCAGAGACCACTTTTCGCCCGAGATCCGCTGCGCGGCCTCCTCGGTGCTACCGTAGTTATCCAGGAGCACCTCTTTCACCTTCGCAAACCCATTACCCGCCGCGTCCCACTCTAGGTCCTTCTCGGTCCAGTTGCACACGACCAAAGCCTTCTGGCCTTCAGACGACTTCACCTGAGCCTCGACTTTGTTCAGAAGATTGGAGCTATGCGATACGGAGGTCCTTCCAGAGCCATTGTACTGGCGCGTGTAGGCGTAGACTTCTTCGCTGGCGCCGTCGACGGCCTTATAGTCCCCGTAGACAAAAATGTCGAGGTACTTCTTGCGCAGACCAAGCACCGCCGCCCAGAAGTGGTAGGTCGAGTCGGGGTCCTTGACTTCTGCTTCGGCGTTGACCCGCACGTAGTCCGTGTTGATGGACATCCACGGCTTGACGCCTGGGCCCGTGAACCCCGCGTTCTCGGCGGCGGACCACTGCACGGGAGTGCGCGCGTTGTCGCGCGACTTTTTCTGATACTCTTGGCGGGCGATCTCTTGGGCTTTGGTGTCGAAGTGTTTCTGTTTCATCATTCTAGGCGTGGGGTTCAGTCATGATTCTCTCTACTGGAAGAGAGGGTGCTCACCCATGCCAGTGGTTCAGACAGTCAATATCCTTGTACTCCTCGATACCCCATGACCGGGGCACGTTGCGCATCCCCAGTTCCTGGCCTTGATAGACAAATGGCGTGCCGGCTTGCATTGTCAGAGCAACGGCGAGCATCTTCGACGCAACGAGGCGGTACTCCTCCTTGGCATTCGTGTATCGGTCGATCGATCGCGGTTGGTCGTGGTTCTCCCAGTAGAGCGCATTCCAGCCATCATTGTTGTACATGAAGGTCTGCCAGCGCTCGAAGAAACTCTTGAGGTCGGTGAGCTTCCAGCTGCCGGGTTCGAACTTGTCGTACTCGCCGTGGTCAATGTCGACATGCTCAAAGTTAAAGATCATGTTAATCTCGTGGCGGTCAAACTGCACGGCCCGGAGCACCTCGTTCTCGTCCTTGACGAATGGCATCTCGCCCACGCTGAAGGCATCGTACTGCTGGAGGATCTTGCCTAGATCCTGGAGGAACTCATGCAGGCGCGGTCCATTGGCGTACCACTTATCCGCCCACTGCCAGATCTGGCGCGGGTCCTTGACGGGGGCATCGAGGAATCGTTGATCCTTGCTGATGAAGTTGATCACGTCCATGCGGAAGCCATCGGCGCCCTTGTCAAGCCAGAACCGCATGATGTCGTGGACTGCCTTGCGCACCGGCGGGTGCTCCCAGTTGAGATCGGGCTGCTCCGTTGCATATAGATGGAGATAGTATTCATCCGTATTTTCATCAAATTGCCAGGCGCTTCCTGGGAACAATATTAGCGTCTGCATCAACGAAAGAGTTTTTAATAACATACCCTGGAAGTGAGAGACCCAGTTGTTGGGAGGTTGCCGGTTGCCATGCTCGTCATACTTGGCCGGCTTCCAGATATACCAATTGCGATACTCGTTGTCCTTGGAGCTGCGCGACTGCTTGAACCATTCATGCTGATCGCTTGTGTGATTAACCACCAAGTCCATGAGCAGCTTCATACCGCGCTTGTGGCATCCCTCGATGAGCTTGTCCACGTCTGCGACCGTACCGTACTCGGGCGCGATACTGTAGTAGTCGGCAATGTCATAGCCCATATCTATCTGCGGCGATTTATAGGATGGACAGAGCCAGACAATGTCCACGCCGAGATTTTTGATGTAGTCCAGCTCGGAGACGATGCCGGGGATGTCTCCAATCCCGTCATTGTTGGAGTCCTTGAAGGACGCAGGCCAGATCTGGTAAACTGAGCACTCCTTCCACCAGGCGCGGTGATTTGCGTTTCCGGACGGAGCCATGGGGTGTGATGTGTGCAAGAAAGAGGTCAAATGGAATGAGGGACACTGCCTGGATATATGTGTGGGCAATCCTCCATGTCGTATCCACGGTGCAACTTATCCCACCGTGGGGCACGGAGAATCGTCGGTGGACTGTGAACGGACGATATGTGCTGATCGTCTCCGGATCGTCATATTGACTGCAGCATGGCCCGAATCAGAGCTCTCCATACGCGGAATGATGGGTGGATCGGGCTTTGGACGACCCACTGGGCGATGATGCAACGGGGGAGCTGGCGGATCAATGGTCCGCACATGGAGGAGAAAGATAAACAATGCAAACTACTGTGTAGTTAACTATCGATCCTACCAACTGGCACTGGCACTGGAAGGCGGTCGGGATTCTGCCACGTCTCTTATCATCCGCGTCCACGGGCTTCTCGCAGCTTTCCAACTCTCCAACTTTCTATTCGAATTCTTTGTTTCTCCATGTCTCTTAACTATGTCCCATCCTTATCCAGACAACAATAGCCGATATCCTCCTCCCGGCTCTTCACGCCGGCCATATCAATCCCGCGCCGACCGAGACGGCCGCATGTATGACGACCGTTCCCGATCACGCTCGCCTGGCGGTACACGCCCCTCCCCACACGGTAATGCTGCTGTCTAGACCGTGCCCGCAACAGGACCAAGTGCCTCCCTGGGTTTGAATTGTCACTGATGTTGTCTCCTGGAATCTGGGGATGAAAGACCATTCTCGCTCGCCTCCCCGAAAGCCGGCTGCAGACCGGAAGCGCGATTATTCTGGACCGCGCCACGACCGAGATGACTACCGCCGTCGACCATCACGATCCCCTCCCTTCCGGCGCGGGAGACAGACCTACAGAGACCGCGACCGCGAGGGTTATCGGTCCCCGGGATATCACAGCCGGAGCCGGAGCTATAGTCGCAGTCGGAGCCGCAGTCGAGGTAGGCCATACTTTGGCCAGGAAAGCAGAGAGGTGATGATGGATGGGCTGCCTGTGGATATGGCGGAAGAAGACGTGAGCATGGCCTTTGGACGAGCTGGCGCCGCATTCCCCGGCACCGAGGAATTGAGGCTGAGACACTCCAGATTTCAACAGAGCTGCGAAATGCCTATCATGTAGACGGCTTGGAAGATATTCGGGTCATTCGAGACCGTCAGACAAGTAAGTTCACAGCAATCGACGAAGATCGTTTCTAATCGTTCGGCAGAGGTGTCACGGCAATTGGGATTCCTTCGGTTTCAATCCATCGATGCCTCCAGAGCATTTCTGGAACGAAATCACCCCTACATCTATTTGTATGGCCCCAGCACTGGGAGCAACGACCAGAGCACCAAGGTGCGCATTGCCTACAGTCGTGAGAGGGAAGATCGGGGACGTGTGAAAGCCGAGGGCGACTGGACCTGCAGGATGGTGAGTTGAAACAACGCGACAGCACCTGTCCCAGGCTAATCTCACCGTGTGTAGTGCGCTATCGTCAACTTCGCCACTCGCCAGAAGTGCTTTCGTTGCAATGCTCCCCGTCCGGGTACGTATTTCTTCAAGTTAGAGCTATTTTCTTGATTACTGATGAAGGACAGAACCGGGCCCCGCAGGTCCCCCTGGGGTCCCCGCTCCAAAGGTGGCAAACAATGGTGACAATGATGCCGCGCCTGACAACCAACCATCCCAGTTCCTCCTGTTCCGAGGGTTGGAATCCTCCGTCACAGAAGAACTCCTCGCCAAAGGTGTTGCCAAGTTATACAAGCCAGCCTCTGGTGGTAATGATAACTCCTCAAACAGTCAAAAGAAGGGGGCCAAGGTAGCATCCACAACTGGTGACGCAAACTTGGGAGCTCGGGAGGGCTCTATTCGCCGCGTCCTACTGGCGCGTGACCGCAAAAGCAACGAAAGCTGGCGCTATGGGTTTGCAGAATTTGCTAGTGTCATGGTAAGTTGACACCAACCTTTTTACAAAAAGTCCTGTCCTGATTTGGTTACAGGACGCACAAGCAGCAATGACACGACTAAATTCATTTGACAAATTCACCATTTCCTCTCGGCCAGTCATGGTTAGCTATATCCATGCCGGGGTTTTCGTGCCGGTCATGAACCCCACAGCTAGCACTGATCGTTTCACATTCAGCCCGCTAAGCAACCCTTCGTTGAAGCTCATGTACTGGGATGACGAGGGATATGTGACCGAACTGACAGTAACATCGAGCGAAGAAGATGGAGGCCAAGAGCAATCCAAAGACGACAAACCAGTGGGGAATCAGCAAGACAACAAAAATTCCAAGGACGCCGACAAGGCCAAGAAACGGAAGGCGGATGCTGCAGTCACCACGAATGCGAAGAAGACGGCCATGCCATCTCATCTGCAGTTCTGGAGCAATCGACATGCCGAGCTGCACGGAATTCAGAAGAAAGATGACAATGGGAACCCGGCAGATGTCGGGTTGTCAGACGGGACCTTGCCTGCAGACTCGGCCGCACCACCTACACAGTCATATGCGGACCCTAACCGTCACTGCTGCTATCTGTGCCTGCGGCAATTCAAGAGCGCTGCTGAGGTCAATCGGCATGAGCGTATGAGTCAATTGCATCGAAGCAACCTGGAGAACGACGAACTGAAGTCCCGCGCTATGGGAAAATTGGTCAAACACGGTATTGCCCCGCCATCCGCCGAGTATCGAGACCGCGCAAGGGAGCGCCGTCAAGCGTTTGGCCGTGCCAAGGTTAGTACGAAGCAGAAACCTACTCCGGCGAAAGAAGAGGACGAACCGCCGGTGCAGAGCACATCCAAAGGTGCTTCTCTTCTTAGCAAGATGGGCTGGTCTGCGGGGTCCGGGCTAGGCGCTCAAGGAACTGGCGTCACGGCACCCATTGCTACCGAGGTGTATGCTCAGGGGGTCGGTCTAGGCGCCCAGG